CTGCTGCTGCTGCTGCTGCTGCTGCAGGTGAACATACACCTGGCGTTTTCTTCTTTCCGCCGGAGCGANTACATATATCGAGCTCATTGCTTTTTTTCTTCTTCTGTTGCTGCTGCTGCTGCTGCTGTTGCTGCTGCTGTGTCGTAAGGAGTATTTGTATAGCCGTGTCCGGGGTTATACATACATGGATATATATAATTTTTTAAGAGACAGATTGCGTGCATGCTGGCAAGAGCTAACAGTGCAGCATGTGTCTCCTCATCGAGCAGCAATAGAGACACTTGAAATATCTTTTCGTTTTCTGGTTTTCTCTGAATCTATACTTGCTGCTGATCCTTCTTTTGACTCTGTCTCCAATCATGGCCTCATGCAGACTTGTATAGATAAACTTATGCAGGGATACGAAGCAGCACGTGCTTACCGCACCAAACGCGATGCTGCTGCTGCTGCTGCTGCTGCTGCTGCTGCTGCTGCTGCTGCAGCAGGAGCAGCAGCAGGAGCAGGAGGGGGAGGAGAAGGGGAGAGTCTGGCTAAGGAGGCGAAGATGTTGCTGGATTTGGTAGTGTATAACAGCCCGTATGAAGGAGAGTTTTGGGGCTTTCGTTTGTTGCTGCTGCTTGCATGCAGCAGCAGCGACACAGCAGCAGTATCTTTGCTGCAGCGTTTACCTGGGGAGCTGCAGCAGGACCCATCTGTGCGTTTTTCTTTGTCTGCATATAAAGCTTTTTTTTTATTAGATATAAGAAAATATATACACATGATACAAAGGGGACCCTATCTCCTGTCTCTTCTTCTTTATAAATTTCTCCCGCTGCTACGAGCTCGCTTTCTTGCTGCTCTTGTATTCAGCAGGCTTATAGGCGGCAGCAGAAACCCTATCACTCCTGCTGCTCTCTCTACTCTTCTTGGCTTCGATGGAGAACATAGTATGTATATATTTATATTTATTTTTATTTTGTTGGTTTTTGTTTTTGGTTTTGTTTTGTATGCATGCGTGTTTTTTTTTTTTTTTTTTTTTTTTTTTTTTTTTTTTTTTTTTTTTTTTTTTTTTTTTTTTTTTT